AAACATATAATTTTAACAATATTTTTTAAAGTTTGCTTACAAAATCAGTCATTGAATTAAAACCCAGAGTAACATTTTTGTTGCCATTGTTTTTCTGAATCCAAACTAAAGTTTTTTTAAAGTTGTTTTTGCGATTTTCCTTGTCTTCAGCAGAACTGTATGACTTGTTAAATGTGGCCTAAAAATAATTTAATAATAAAGTTTAAAATAAATAAAATGTTTAAGTTTAGAAAGTTACTTTGAATTGTTTCCAACTGGCAACAGGCTTTTTGGTGTCATCGTAACAAAACAAAACGGTGACTATAACAAACCAACATATGATTTGCACAAAACGCATTTTTAACTTTTAAATATTTTATAAAATTATGTTTTTAAAATATGTAACATGTTTAATTTGTAGTATTGAAAAAAAAACTTTTGATTTAATTAATAACTTAACAAATAATGCCCTTTAAATATTGTTCACTGCAACAAGTGTTCAGCGTTAGTTAATTACTTAATTAATAAAAAATAAATTGTTTGTTTGTTTAACTAATTAGAAAACAAAAATTTTCCAACAACAACAACTAGCTATATAACAGTATTTTTTGTTCTTTTTTTAATTTTTTTGTGCTACTTTTTTAGGTGAGCACGCTTAAAGAGCTTTCACCTGCATTTTTNTTTTGATTTAATTAATAACTTAACAAATAATGCCCTTTAAATATTGTTCACTGCAACAAGTGTTCAGCATTAGTTAATTACTTAATTAATAAAAAATAAATTGTTTGTTTGTTTAACTAATTAGAAAACAAAAATTTTTCAACAACAACAACCAGCTATATAACAGTATTTTTTGTTCTTTTTTTTAATTTTTTTGTGCTACTTTTTTAGGTGAGCACGCTTAAAGAGCTTTCACCTGCATTTTCACTTGGACTGGGCTAGTGTGGCAACAGTGCCAACAGGCTGAAACACTGGTTTTTTTGTCGTTAGTTCGACAGTTTGAATCACACTTTAACACAGCCAGTTCTAAAACTCGGCTGCCCTTAATCAAACCAGGTTAATTGGCACCGGAATGCTCTAACTATGCCAGCCCTGTCCCTTTTTTGCCAGAATTTTTATTAAGCGTTTTTTTAAATTTTTTAAAATTATTTAATTTTATAATTTTTAAATAAGTAAATTAAAACAAATATTTGAAATTTTAAATGCGAGTTTGTAGAGCCGATGCACTTAAGCACCACAAATTTTTTTATTAGTTTATTTTTCAGTTTTTAAGTTTGCCATGTTTGTTTTTTGACTAATCATTTTTTTAATGCATATACCTAAATAAGTTAAACTTTAAAATCAGTTATGTAAACTGGGTAACGGTCAATTTCCCGAGCACTAGTACTTTTAGGATCTCGTAGCAAACGTCCGTAACCTTCTTCACCCCAACCTAAATTGTTTAAATACAAACCAATTACAATTTCTAAGTATTACAAACTAAAATAAAATTGGGCACTAACCTGAGCCCCAACTGTTGCGAATCGTCCAGTAAGGCTTTTGATCGGCCGTAGTTCCGTAGCCGACCAGCACGACCACGTGACGGGTTTTGGCTTTTGGATCGACCGTATCCGCAGTCATGACGCCCTTTCGGTAGGAGCGAAACTGGCTATCACTTGCTATGATTACCACTGACAGTGGGCCGAAACGCTTGAGGGCGGTCTTCAGCTGGTCCTCACTGGCACCGTAGGGCAGTCGGGCACACTGAAACGCTCCCGGGCGAATGAAACGAGGCGTCACCTGTTGGCGGCACTGGTGGCCGTCCTCCATGCGGTACGGGTACTGCGCCGTCAGGGCAATTCCCTTCTCCTTCACGTACCTCAACGCCTCCTTAGCGTTGCCACCTCCGCATCCTCTGCACTTTTTGTAGCCGTAATGCTCACTGGCGCAGTCCACCAATTCCTGCTTGGCCAGGTTCACCGTCTGTCGTCCACCTGTGCGCCACCCGTAGACGCCCTCAACTACGCCCGCTGCGCTAAAAGCCCAACAACTGCCACACAGTTTAGTATTAGTATCTGGTACAAGGTAAAAAAGCAATAAAACTCATTTAAGTTTTTTGAAACAAAAATAAAAAAACAAAATGTTAGAGCACAAACATGTTTACTTTTTACTTACTTTGTTTTTCAACTGGTCCAAAAACGCCTCTGTAGTCAATTGAGGCAGGCAAGTCAGTAGCAGAACCAAGGGAAACAATGAACTCAAAACTTGAATTTATATTTTCTGGAACACCCCCGCTAAGGCGAAAAAATTCATCTGGAAACTATTAATAAAAATTAAAAAAAATTTGTTTTTGTTAAAAAATGAATTTTTTAGCGTTTGGTTTAAAATTAATAGCACACTGACCAAATCTGCAAGAGAATTAATGCCAAGACTGACACCGTTTTTGCCGTTGTTCATCCGTACAAAAGCTAGTGTTTTTTCAAAAATAACTTTTCGGTGTGCATTTTCTTCAAAAGATCCATACGACTTGTTAAAAACTGCCTAAAATATTAAAAATTAAATAAAAAGTATAATATTTTTAAGTTTTTACTTTAAACTTTTGCCATGTGTTAATTGGCTCATCTTCAACTTCAGTGGTTTCAACAAATACTGAAACTGAAATGGAAAAAACGCATAAAATTGTCAATGTTTTTGCCAAATGCATGTTTAAAGTTTATGTTAAAAAATTAATTTCAGGTGATTTAGACTAACTGATTATGTTTTCTTTTATACTAAATATTTTATTTTAGTAACATTGATAGTTTTATCTTTTAAATTAATTTATAAAACAACATAAAATTTTAAGTTTTAAAATTAATTAACTTACTTAATTTTTAAATTTGCTGGGTTACTAATATATAAAAACATCTTTAAAAACATTTTAATGATTCAGCATTGATCTAAATTTAAAAACTAAATGCAATCAATATTAATTTATGTTTTTGCTTTGACTAATTACTACCGTTTAATTTGAATTTTTCATTCATAATTGTACGTTACTTAGACACACTGTTTTAGTGTGTAATTGTGTCAGTTTGACTTTTACTAAAAAAATTGTTTCACAACGTTACAATTTTTTTTATACTCAGACAAAAAAAATAAACCAGTTTTGTCACACTTATTTGGCAAAACTTTGCGCACCATTTTGTACGTTTCAAATAATTTATACTCTCAAACAGAAATTTAACACAAAACATAAACATTTATTTTGTAAAACTTTAAAATTTTTGTTATTTTTTATTGAAAGTTACAAACTTAAAAACATGTCACAATTTCTAGTCTATTAATCATTTAAATTTTTATTCTTAAACAATTTTTTTACTTAATATTTATTTGCATAAATATCACGCTAAATTTTGAGCAACAAAATTTATACTCCTGACAATAATTTAATTTTGCTAAGTAATACTTTAAATTCTACTTAAAACAAAACTGTTTAAACATCAATTAATATATTAAAAAAATGTCTCGTTATTACGCTCTTTGCAAGTACTTTCAACTGTTGTTTAGCTCCCACTACCAGGTACTTTACCGATATTTGGACCCACTTGCTCTTCAATCTAGGCCTGGAACTGATGATGAATATTTAGAAAACAATTTTTTAAGTTCTCAACACTCAAAATGGAACTTTAAGTTCATTTTTCCAATGGTGGTCATTGTTGTTACCATGTTCATTGGTGACATTTACCTGGTGTGCTTTGGTTCAAACCGAACTAACTGTTTTGGCCTTGATATTTTTCAGCTACCTACACTTGAGCTGTTCATCAGCAGTCCCCGACTGATGACCCACCAGGCCTTTCCCCGGGCCATGTGGCCTCAGCTGGACATTGCCTTCAGCATGGCGGCCGCCTTTGGCCTGGCCAGCTACCTCACCTTTCTCCGTAACCCGTACACTGTGGACCGATACCGAGAAGTGTCGGCAGGAGTGACTAAAAGTAGTCGGGAAAGTAGTCGTTTGGCAGTTCGAGGAAAGCTACTTTCAGCAGCAGAGTCACA